ATCGATCGTTGCGATACGATTTCCGGTCCCATTTTCGAACTCGGACTCCGCTGCTCTTCGACGCCCGAAAGAACAAGCCGCCAATTTTCGTCGATCCTTGCGTTATACGAAGAAATTTCCAGTCCCAGAAGAGTAACGCTTTCGATGCGAGTCTGCTCGGTCCATAGACGAGACCGAAGAAGCGACTCGTGGAACGCGGCGGTCCTGGCAGAAATTCGTCGAGCGAAAATGGTCCGCGCAACGTCGATTCGAAACGGGATTATTCGAGCCCCGTCGTAACAACGCCACGCAGCCGGGCAGCTATTATCAAGTTAAACAAAGAATCAAACGGCATTAGCGGCGGCTCAACAAGTGTCGCTATAATGTATGCGTTGCCGTTTCACGGCGGACGAATTACTGAATTAGGTGCGTGACAACGCAGAAACGTTCCGCAACGGGGAACGGAACAGCGAGCCGTTCGCGTTCGTTCCCCTGGAAATCGGGGATATACCGACGGCGATCGGACTCGCATCGCCCGATCGAATCGCTAACCCAATAGAACGTTTGCACGCCTCGCGTCCATTGCTGAGGTCAGTTGCAATTAGCATAGGCGATATCATCGTTTGAATATGCGCAATCGCGAACGTTTTCTTTTAAATACGGCGAACCGTTCGTTCGTGCCGGAAAAATCGACGAAGAGGAGAAACTCGAGTTTTTCCCGTGTCCGGGATTTTCACGGTTTTTTCCCTACGATCCGCGACCCCGTCGATCGAATCGGGACCCAATTTATACAGCCCCGTGCACGAGCTTTTGTGCGCGACGTTTGCCCGCGAAGCGTGCATTTCGGACAAATACGTTTGCGTAAATCGTCGAAGCTTTTATGTAACGAAAACCGCGTTGATTAACAGCGTTTATCGAAGCTTCGCTGTTCGAGCGTGCCAGGCATCGAAACGCGTATCTATTTCACGAGAAAAAGAGAGAGAGAAAGAGAGAGAGGAAGAGGAAAGAAGGAACCAGAAGTTTCCTCGAAAAGGTCACCGATGCGAAGCGGCGCGACTTCCGTGTAAGACTGAAATTCCCGTTTTTAAAAGATGTTTTTGCGCGAGCAAGAAGAAGCGAGAGTGAAATTCGTCTTATCTGCGTCGAATGCAAATACATACATACCGTGCAATGCGAAGAAATATCCGAAGCTAATCAACGCCGATTGACGTGTACGGTAAACATATAAACATCCTGATAATGGGGGAGCCCGATTCTCGAGATCCCCGTTCAGTTTGCGTTTGGACGGAATCGTATCTGATACAAGTCGATTATTAGCGAGTCGGAGCAATTAAGCCGCGCGTGTACGTTCGCGGTGTACAAAGCTGTCGCGATATCCGAAAATAGACGGCGAAGACTATTATATAGAGGGCCCAGGGGCCCTCGAGTCACGAAATAATACGAATACAGTAATGTCTCCCTAATTGACGCACAGATTGTCCACGAAAATGGACAATTTAGGGAGAAGAGAGACGATTATTCGATCCGTGCGGTTCATTTTTATAGTCACGAATTGTCAACAACTATAAAAACGAGCTGCAAGGCTCGGATAATGGTATCTCCTCTTCCCAAATTGTCCATTTTTGTGGACAATCCGAGCGGCAATTAGAGAGACATTACTGCATTTGGCTCGCAGTAATAGATACAGTAATGTCTCTCTAACTGGCGCTCGGATCGTGCAGAAAAATGGACAATTTAGGGAGAAGAGAGACGATTATTCGATCCTTGCGGTTCATTTTTATAGTCACGAATTGTCAACGACTATAAAAACGAGCCCCGAGGCTCGCATAATCGTGTCTCTTTCATCTGAAATTGTCCATTTTTGTGCACAATCTAAGCGTCAATAAGGGAGACATTACTGTACGTACTCGACTCGACTCGTATTCTGGTAAACAGGCGAGGCGCGGGCTCAACAGGTGCAGCGGCGAATCGACTAATTGGCTGCCGCGTTCCCAGCGGCGAGTTCGTCGCGTAGCAAGTGGCCGGAAAACAGAGAAAACAGAGTCTCTCGTACCAACGTTCGACGTTCGTTCCGAAGAGCTCTCGTTACGTCGAACGAAATTATCGATCGGCCCGATAAGATAATCGCGGCCGGCAAAAGTTTTCGGCTGGCGTCTTCGCGCGATAGAATTCCGGAAGCGATGCTCGACGGACGCTTCTTTAATTCCCCGAGACCGCTCGAGATAATCGGCCGCGTTTCTTTTTTTCAGTTTTTCCCCGTTCGCCACGGCCATTTAAAATTAATTAACCTTTTGCACTCCGTTGGCGCCGTTGCGCTGCCGAGACACTCGTAATGCGCGAGCTATTAATAACGATCATATTTTCGTTCCTATTGAAATCGAGTTAAACAATGAAGAATCGGGAACGTTCTCGACTTCTTTTGCACGCCGTATCGTTTTCGTCGACGAGTTATCTCCGTCGTCCGAACAGCAACCTCCGCGGTCCTGCTTAGAACATGTTTAAAAGAGATCCGATAATCTTCGTCCGATAAAAACCCGCGGCTATATCGCAGGGAAATCCAAAGACGCGTCGCTTTTATTGTTTTGCTTTCCCGACAGGCGCTGTAAATAAAATTTACGAGGCTGTTGTTCAGAATGGACGTTCAGGTTGCATCACCGCTTGAGAATTATGTTTCTCTTTTTTCTTCTCTCTCTTTCTATCCCTCTCTCTCTCTCTCTCTCTCTCTCTCTCTCTCTCTCTCTCTCTCTCTCTCTCTCTCCCTCTCGGACTCGCTCGTCTCTCGCGGATAAAAATATGCACGCCTTTTCGTTTCGCGCGCGCGCGACCAATTGCAGTTCCGACATAAATCACCATCAATCGATTAACCCTCCCGTCGCGGACGCGGATCAAGAATAGCGGAACGTTATCGACGGTTAGTTAGTTACGGTATCGGTTCATTTATTATCCAATCCCGATTACCGATTTAAACCTACGCCGCCGACACGAGTCCGCGAGCTTTCCCGGGACGATCGCGTCGGAAACGCTGACCGACCATTGCGCGATTTCGCGTCCGCGTTCGCTCACGCGTGCGCGTCGCGCATAGATCTCCGCTGCAAAATATGACTCACACAGGGTTCCGCAGATGTTTCTGCGGGTCTGTACAAGCACCGCGAACAAAGACGATTAGCTGATTCTCGCGCGTTCGTGGAGCTCGCGAAGTCTTCGGAGAATTTCTGCTTCTAATTACGACGCGACGTCAGACTCCGCCGATCTTTCTGCGAGTTTCGATTTTTATTCGAAATTTCACGGGCTCGCCTAACGTTCTCTTATCGATATATCCACGGTTTCTTGTATTTTAGAAAAGGTTTTGAAAAGTTCGAGATTTCAAATTGTCGTTCAATAAGATTTCAGACTTGTTCGCGATACGGTGAGACCGATGCGGGAGAATCGTTTCTACTCCGGAAACAAGGAAATTTTACGCGGAAGGAAGATCGAAATTGGTCTCGAACGTGATAACGTTCGAAGGATCGAGGAAAATTTAGTAGAAAATTTAGTATTCCTAGTCGAGGAAAATTTTCTAAATCGCTAATCTATTCGTGTCCGATCGTCTCGCTCGCTTAAAAAGCGTCCGATAATTATGGCGGAGCCGACACCGCCGGTGCTTTTGCGACACCGCGGATCATTAGACATTCATAGTATTCGCGAGTCTGTAAAATACAGGGGAACATTTGCATCGGCAGACGTTAACGACATTACTGGTTTACGTTCACCGCGTGGCACATCGCAGCCGGCGCGACGCGGCGCGGCACGGCACGGCAAGGCGAAACGGACCTTATCCGACAGTTTCGATAAAGATATTCTATAAAAAGGTCGATTTGCATAAAGAGATTCGCGATTGCTCGATCGTCCGATCGTTTGTTCGATTCCGCGATCTCGAGAATCGCGTTCAACCTTGAGATTTTTGGAATTGGACGCGCGCGCGCGCGTTTATCGTCCGCGGCCAAAGGTGGTCCTCGAGCCGATCCGATAATCGACGCGCGATGGCTATCGTTCGCCGATAACACGTAATAAACGGGCTTCCGTGAAACAGAAGTGTTTGCACTCTCGACGGGGACGTTTGTTAATTTCGCCGCGAACACCGGTCGAACTCGGATAATTCCGCGAGGACCGCGCGGACGAAGGAAACGCGCGGCGTTGCTGTCGTCGCGCCCCCGCGTTCGTTATCTCTCGAATAGACAGAGAGAAAAAGAGAAAGAAGGAGATGGCGAGAAGGGAGGGCCGATCGCTCTTCTGGCCGGCTCGGCGAGCGAAAAATTTCGCTGCAGATAAACACGCGACAAAATACATTTATTAATAACCGGCGGACAGAGATATTCGGTGTCTGACCGATTCGCCGTTAAAAATACTCGAAGACGGAGCGTCGGTCGCCGATTAAATTACTCGCGCCTCGCCTCGATTCGGAGGCCTCTCGACGCGCTCTGGCCACGTCGCGAAAATTCCTCGTTTCCACGCGAGGCAGCGGTCGTTTCGGGGCGATTATTCTCGAAGCAAGGGTGCGGGAGCCGAGCGACGAGAACCGAGAGAGGCGAAAAGCCTCGGAAAAGAGAGCGGAAATTGCCGCGACGGCAGCCGAGGAGCTTCGCCGAGGGCGAGCTTAATTGCGATGTTGTCGTGTAGTTCTACGGCCTCTTCTTCATTAATTCAATTGTCCGTTATCAGTCGGAATGCCAGCGGTGCGGCGTTTGTCCGGTTGCCGGGCTCGAAATACGACTGGAATCGGCGCTGCCCCGCTGAAACCGCGAACAGGGCTCGAACGGGACGGAAAACTGATCTAACAGATCGCGAAAAGCGCGATCGGAGTCCACGCGGACTCTGCTTCCGTGTGCTAAGAAGAAGTTGGGAAAACGGAGGAAGAACGAGGAAATAGTTGGGCGAGTCGAAGGTCGATGCAGGGAGATGCGAGAACCGCCGATCTCGATTTCTCGGCGATACGGGCGACCGCGAGGCGACGCGACGAAAACCGAGGGAAAAGAGAAACTCACCTGTAGGCGAGGGACATGCACTGGAACAGCTTGTTCAAAGACGTCTCGATGCTGAGCTGCTGAGGCGTCTTCTTGCTGGAGAAGGTGCTGACGAACTTCTCGTGGAGGAAGCCGAGCGGCGCGATGATCGCCATCTTGGCGGCCTCCTCGTCCGGCACGGGAACGGCGAGCTCGTCCTCGTCGTCCTGGGCCTCCGCCTCGAAGTCCGAGACCATGAAGTGTCCGGAGTGTATCGCCTCCCTGCAGTCCCTCCCGGCCTCTTTCTTCCCCGTCCCAGGACGATAGAAACTCTGGCCCGGCGTCGTCATCGTCAGCGGTTTTCTGTACATCAGTTCGGCCTGCATCCCTCTACGGCGGCACTCTGCGGATCACAGTCACTTCGGAACGTGTTCGCGCAAGCTTCGAGCTTCGCGTGCTACTTCGTTTCGAAAGTCTTTCTCGATCGCCTGCGAGAGTCGCCACGATTTCAGGATCCCCCGGTTTTTCTTTCTTAAACGAGCGTTAACCCCTTGACATAGCATTCTCTTCGCAGTTACCGCGATTAGAAATTTTTCGATTGCTATAGTTTCTTAGAAGGGAAAGAAAATCGATGCTTGTCGTGTGCCNTCCGAGACCATGAAGTGTCCGGAGTGTATCGCCTCCCTGCAGTCCCTCCCGGCCTCTTTCTTCCCCGTCCCAGGACGATAGAAACTCTGGCCCGGCGTCGTCATCGTCAGCGGTTTTCTGTACATCAGTTCGGCCTGCATCCCTCTACGGCGGCACTCTGCGGATCACAGTCACTTCGGAACGTGTTCGCGCAAGCTTCGAGCTTCGCGTGCTACTTCGTTTCGAAAGTCTTTCTCGATCGCCTGCGAGAGTCGCCACGATTTCAGGATCCCCCGGTTTTTCTTTCTTAAACGAGCGTTAACCCCTTGACATAGCATTCTCTTCGCAGTTACCGCGATTAGAAATTTTTCGATTGCTATAGTTTCTTAGAAGGGAAAGAAAATCGATGCTTGTTGTGTGCCTAAATTTACTCGAATGCTTAAATATCGATGACAAGAGATGAGAATTTTATTCAAATTTTAATGAACGGAATAACATATATACTCGATAAGTTATTATTAGAAATCTTCGCGACGAGTCGGACTCGTCAAAGTACGGCAAGGGGTTAAGGTGCGACTTGAGCCGCGACTTTGTTGGAGGATCGCCTGGCACGATAGCGCATGTTTCAATTGTCTGCTTTTAGCAAATATTTATTCTGATACCCGATGCTCGACTCTCTCTCTATTCTCGACTAAAATTCTATCGAAGGTAACGGGACTGTATCTCGCGACAAGCAGGACAGTTTTATAGTACGATAAACGATCGGGAGCTGTTAAAGACGCGCATCGACTTCTCTTCTCCGCTTGTTTTCTGCTCGACGGCGAAGGCAATCGATGAAGAGTGCATTGTGCGTGGCTTTTCCCAGGTATCGACGCGATCCGGAAAGCGAGATTGAAATTTATGCGGCGGATCGGGTCGGGCCGGGTCGGCCCGTGAGCGCGGAACGAGGTCGCTTACGCGGAATCCAGCGGTATTGGTATTGGTCGACCTCGTTTCGCGAAATCGCTAGCTGCAAAGTCTACGCTCGGTTCCGATAGGACGAATCCTTTCCGCCAGACACAACAAACCGTATTTATCGAGTGTCATCGATAACGGCCGAACACTCTGCCGCCTATCGCGCTCGCTCGTTAATCCAACCCTCGCAATTAACAACGCTTCTGCGACACGCGATCCGCGCGGTTCGATTTACCCTAAGCTCGGTATCGACGCTAATTTCTGTCGTTTATCGCTCGGTATTCTCGACGCGTCGGCTGACGATTCGAATATTCTTATTTTGCAAAAAAAAAACGAAATAGAGGAAGTCTCCGAAATTTTTGTCGGAGCGACAAAATGGTGCGCGGGTCCGCGGCCGTTCGTCGTCGGTTTCTCCGATTCCGCGAGCAATCGAAAGGAGATGCAGTTCCGGTGCAGGCCAGCCGATGCGCGGAATGAATAACATATAAACAAGCCGGTCGGCCGGTTGAACGACCGCGGATCGTTAAAATCGCGGCTCCGTCGACGGAGCGCGGCACGGCGCGGTGCAGCGCGGTGCAGCGCGGCGGCCCGGTTTCCATGAAAGTACAGTCAACGCGCCAGAATTCAGAATGGTCAGTGACTTCGCGTTCGCGTCGCGGGTCCACAGCTCGCCTAAAATTAACCGGCGGTGCGCATTTCGCGATCCGGTTCGCGACGACGGGCGACGCGACGCTATATGTCGCGCGGTCCCGCGAAACCGACCGACGATGGACACCGGGACGATCCTAAACGGCCGTCTATGAATTTCTAGAGTTCCGCGCGTCGGTCTTTGAAACCAAGACCCGATGAACATTAGAAAGTTCCCGAGGTGGAATCCGATGGCTGAATTAGTTAGCGCGCGCGATCATATAGCTGGGAGAGACGGGCCGCGACACGTGCGGAGTCGAGAAGCTACTGCGAAAAATAGGTTTCGCGTTCGTTACGAGGTGGGGAGCCTTCTCTAATAGGTCAAAAGATGTTCTAATTCTTGTCTAGCGAGTACCGGGTGGCGGACCCGTGCATGTATCTCTGTTTACTCGAAAATACCGTCGAGTACAAAATCTTTCGATACACAAACGTTTACCGTACTCCTCGTAAATAACCCTGGCGCAACACCGATCCCAAATTTGGTAGCCAATTTTCAATGGGTACCGAACAAAAGCTAGACCAAAATCGCGGCGATTAGTCGAGAAATAGCGGCGTGACCTAATGAACAGGTTTTCCCGGCGTATCTTTTCCGCGAAAACCAGCCGGTACGTCATGAACCAATCGGAGATGGAGCGCGAATGATTTATTCGATTGGGTTACGAGGTAGATGAAACTTTCCGCGTACTTTCGAACCTGTGGTCGCGATCGATCGTGGCTTTTTGCGAAATTATTAGAACCGCGTGGAATCGAAGCCGCTCAAGGACCTTGGAAAGACTTGTGTACGAAAGGTTCGTTGTCGGGCGATTTTAATATGCGGCACATGTTGCACGCTTCTAATAAGAACGCGTGCTGTAAACCTTCGCCGAGATGCGTGTTACGAAAACGTGTAACGGAAACCGAAGTCCACTCTAATGGGCATCGAACAGTCGGTATCATAAATTACAGGTTAATCCATTACAACCGGTTTTCGAAATTCAAGATTTTCCCCGCATTATCGACCAGCTGACACGGTGTCTCTCTTTCTCTCCTCTACCCTTTCTTTCTTTTTTTCTTTCTCTCTCCCCCCCTCTCTCTCTCTCTCTCTCTCTCTCACGCTTAGAATTTATCTTACTGTCTCTCTTTCTCTACTCTACCCTTTCTTTCTTTTTTCTTTCTCTCTCTCTCCCTCTCTCACGCTTAGAATTTATCTTACCGATACGCGGTTGCGCAAAGAGTATCGAATACACTAATTTTTATTATTATATTGCATACCGAACAATTCAATCGACTCGATTGCTCTATCGAATATACACGAATACCGGTCAACAATCGTAAATATTATCAATAATTACCAGCGACAGATATTACGGCTTGTTCAATAGCACAATTGTGAATCTAAAAACAAACTGCTCGTTCAACAAATTAATTCCGCGCGCGAGCCTTTTGTACGCTTTTTTTTCGGTGCACGTTCCACGCGTACTCTTATCCCGGCGGATATCCTTTTGCAACAATTCCATTCAATGAACGCTTTTAATATTCCATGACATTGTTATCTTAAAAGTGTAATGCCCTTTCGCCCCGGGTGTCACATGGTATCGGCGAGGTTAACCGCCTTATCCACTTGTCCGTCAAGGTTTTTTTCCTTTGCTCGTGGTTTGAAAAATTCTGATACGCTCGCGCGACGGGGAGGGAACACACCGTTTCGATTCGAGTTTTCTTCCGGTGGACACGCGCGCGATCGCGGCTCCATCGATAAGCCCGGGGGCCTCTATCGATAAATTAGGGGGGACGGGCGATTTCGTGATCGTGCAAGAAAATTACGCGTCGCGCCTGTGACGTAACCGAAAAACGGCGCGCGTACACGATCCATAGCGGCGTGTAGTGTCCCTAATCTGCTTTTCTTCGTAACGTTACTCGTGTCTCTATGGAACGCGCTCGCCCCAGCACAAAAGAGAGACATTAGTTGTTCCTCCCTCCTTCTTCCGCTTCTCCTAATCTTGATCTTGATCTCGATCGAACGACAGGGAATACGAGACAGCATCTCGGACGTACTGTCCTCTTCTCTTCGCGACAGGGCACCGGGAATCCTTTCGGACGGGCTCTCGGCTCGGTTTCAATCCCTTATCTTATGCCGTCTTATGTAACGGTCGAACGTATTTAGGAGAGCTGGTCGCCGCACAAACAAAAACATTCTGCTTCGCCCACACGTGTGCGTGTCCGCGAGAAACGTGTTTTTTAGCCGAGAGAAACATGGCCGCCCTGCTTCTGGATCGCGATAACATCGACGTATTTAAACAGCCTGAATAAATGAAATTATAAAAGTTTCCACGGGACTCGATAACGAAACATCGTAGTCATCGTCTACGATCAACAAAATCATTTCTAACGCGACGAAACGAAACCGAACGAAACGATAGACGGTCGGATAGAGGGGGACCACCGTTCGGTTCCACCGAGGCGACTGGCGTTTTCGATTTAATCTCGCGAAAATAAAATAACTATGCGCGGAACGATGCAGCGATTCGAAGCGACACAATGCATTTGGCAATGATGCACGCATGGCACCTGTCACAACGGAGCACGGTTCGTGTCTAAACTCGACCGAGAAGCTTCCGTGCTATGGTTACATATTTTGTCTTTCCCTCCTCTTTGTTATCCGCCTTTTCCGCGAAACGAGAACCATCCAGAGATGTTCGAGCCCGAACGCGCCGAACGGTCGCAACGGCGATCGTTGTCGCGATGTTTTTACTCGAGCGCCGGAAATCTCGGGAAACCTAGCCGCGTTAAAGAGCGCGTTGGATCGTGGTATAGAGAGGCTCGTTCGATTCTCGTTTTATGCATTGATATAAATAATAAAAGGCGAAAGAATCCTCGGGCGATCGAGAAAGCGATCGAAAGATCCGCTCGATACGGTCGGATACGTTTATTTGATGGATCGCGTTCACGTACGCGTAACACGGCACTTCCCTCTAGGCTCACAGTTCTCCTCCTCGGGCTTTCTTTCTATCTGGCACTCACCTCTCTTTCTCACTGCGTGTCACCACTCGTTGTCGATACGTGCACAGTGCACACACCGTTTGCTGCTTCGACAGCAATTTTAACGATCCCTACGGACTGATTTATTTCCTGAATCCTGACCAATAATCGACTCACTCACGCTCGCCGTCAGGCTGGGCCGCGCGGCGCCGCGCCCGGACGAGGCCCGTACGCGTTATTAGACAGCATACGCTCGATCATACTGGCAGCGACGCCATTTGCACGAATCCGCGTCTACGACGGACGACGGCTGATTCTGTGGCGCACAGCTGACAAGGGGCGCGCTTACTACCGACCAATTACAAAACGCCGTCGAACGTGGCGCCGTCTGCTAGTACAACCGTAAATACAACACATACAACCACCACCACCACGATCCGTGTTTCCGCCTTTTTTCAAATTCCGCTGCTCTCTTTTTTTCCCCACCCTTTGAAACCTTCGTTTCGTCCGGGAATCCGAGGTTTCATCGAGCGGATGAAAAATATATCGTTTTAATGCTGGAAAATTTCATCGAGGACATTGTTGCCTCTCGGAGTAAACGATAGTATAATTTTTGTATTACAATTATATTAAGCGGCAACAGATTTCTAGAATCGTGACAAATAGGATGAAACAAAAGAACAGAACTCGAGTTTGCACCTTTGTACTGAGCATCGACGAAGCGGCCAAGTAAAGCGGTAAATGGGAATCGATAATTATGCAAGTCATTACCATGTGGTCATGCCGAAACGGTCTAAAGGTTGGATTTCATAGGTTAGAAGGTCTACAAAAGTGTAACTATCGTATCGAGTTGTTTGGTTGCATCTTAATCATCGATACCAGCAACTGAAACATTGTTGTATAATTTAAGAATTAAAAATATTTACGAACATGAAGCAAGAACAGCTAAAAGGTTGGTGGTTGATATGGTGGTTATTTACGTTATTTGGATTTCCAATAACAATTCCATGGTTATTATACCACTTTTACGATCTCATGCAGTATAAACGGAGGAAAACAACGCTCCGTGGAAAAGTGAGTATTATGTAAAAATCACAGCGGTCGAATTGGAAATGTTAATTGCACTTTGTATTATAGGTTGTAATGATAACTGGAGCTAGTTCCGGATTAGGAGAAGCATTGGCACATACCTTTTATAATTGTGGTTGCAAAGTGATTTTAGTTTCCAGGAGGAAAGAAGAATTGGAAAGAGTGAAGAATTCTTTAATAAATACCCATCATGTATGCAATAATTTGTTACTGCAATTTCTCTGCAAGTTACCTATATAGAAATAATTGCAATGTACACTTTGATTTTCAGACAATACCAACTTATCCTCCTGTAATCCTACCATTGGATATAACTGACATTAATTCTCTAAATTCTGAAGTAGGAAAAGTAATTGAAATTCATGGACAAGTTGATATTTTAATTAATAATGCTGGTATTTCTTACAGAGGAGAAGTAGTTAATACAAATGTAGATGTAGATATAAAAATAATGCTCACAAATTATTTTGCTCAAATTGCATTGGCAAAAGGTAAATAACTATAAAGTTTGACAAAAAAATATAGATTTTCATGTATTGAACGTATGATTTTACAGCTGTGCTTCCATTTATGATAAAACAAAAATATGGTCATATAGTATGCGTAAGTAGCGTACAAGGAAGAATTGCTATTCCATACAGGTCAGTATATTTTATCTTCGTATGCACGATATCATTTAATAATGTCCTTATCGTTGTCTCAGATCTGCGTATGCCGCATCTAAACACGCGTTACAAGCATGGTGCGATAGTTGTAGAGCAGAGTTGGCTGATCAAAATATAAAAGTTAATGTTATCAGTCCTGGTTATGTACGCACTGCTCTTTCTCTCAATGCCTTAACAGGAAATGGGCAAGTCTATGGAGGTAAATAAAGAAGGAAATGTCATTCACGGTAGACGTGATTGTTTATTTAAACAAATTTTTTGTTGTAGTAATGGATAAGTCCACGGAAGAAGGATACTCTACCGAGTATGTCGCAGAACGCATTTTAAAAGCAATATTGAAGGATGAGAAGGATGTAATTATAGCTACATTTACTCCAAAGATTGCAATATATTTACGGACTTTATGTCCATCGCTTTATTTTTGGATTATGCATAAACGGGCGAGAAAGTCTGAAAAAGACGCATAATGTTCAATGTTATGTTACAAAGTATCTTAAAGTAGTTGTTCTTACGTTATATTTTCTATTGTTTATACGAAGTACTTACATTTTCGAAATAATAATATTTCGTTGTATCACATGTTGTATATAAAACGAAACCTAGAATGTAATAAATTTATAATATTTATCTGTTGTCACTGATAGGTGTAGGATACACATATTTTACATGGTTCGTTAATAGAAATGGGAAACAATGCTATTAATTAAAATGAACGTAATTATATCCAAACTATAGTTTATTGTTATGCCACTGAATAATGGCATTTGTGTACAGTATATGCATTTTAATACTACAAACGCTTTAATGG